TTCGTTCCTCTGAAATCATCATTAATTTTTTTTTTAAATACGGACCTGTTTTTTTTTTAAATACGGACCTGTTTTTTTTGCTGTGTTATTGAAAAATTATAAACAGTATCGGTTTTAGGATGCGCAAAGATGACAAAATCGCAAATAAAAAATTCAGGTCCGTATTTAGAAAAAGGAACTTGAGGATGGCCGCCTGAAGACGAAACGTCGAATTTTAAATTTAGTAGCACCATCTTCTAAAGGAGAAAAAGTGACAACGATGAAGTGACATTTATTTTAAAATTGCTTTTCAAATAAGCCCGGGAAAAAATAAAAACGATTTTACAAAATTTTGGTTTTTTCCGAATATCTCCGGAAGTATTCGGAATCTTTCTAGTTTCAAAACGGTATTCTATTAGTCATAAAATTGCGCAACTTTGCCATAATTTAACCGACCCCGTATCTCTTACGGTTACCGAGATCCCAGTGATGAGGCTCAAATTTGGGCCACCCTGTATATCTGGAAAACGAAGCATTTCCATGTTTATCAAGAAAAAAGTTTTATTTTTACGAGATCTATCATCCCTAGAAGTTTGTAACAAACCTTTCGTGACACCCTGTATATTTGAAATGAGGAAAATGGGGGCGTTCAAAAAATTGATTTGAATATAGGTTATTCCATTTAAAAAAATTACTTTTGGCGTCACAGCGCTTCAACGAAAAATGTAATTAAATTTCATAAAACGTTTTCAAATTCTAGAAATAAAATACGTTAAATGGCTATCTTGATTTTTTCAAAAAAAATTTTTTTAGCGAAAAGGTAGGGGGTGTTCACTTTATACTGGATCACCCTCGATATCAACGAAACTTGGTAGGGTTGATTTTCTAACCAAACGCCATTTGTTTGCATCTTTGACAAGTTTTCCTGACTTCCGGTTCCACCGGAAATGACCGGAACTTTTGATTTTTAAATGGTACACCCTGTATATTTTTTGTTTTCTGGATTCTACAGATCGTTTTTTTTTTTTTTGGTTGTTTTATTTTGCAGTTTTAGGAAAAGCATTGGAAAAAACTCGTTTGAAAACCTTTTTTCACACTTGCTCGACTTGTGGAACTCGCCTACGGCTCGGTCCAACAAACTGTCTCGCCGTGCGAAAAAAGTCGTTTTCAAAACTTGTTGTTTAAATAACTATTGTTATTAAGTATAGTAATTTTTTTTCTACTTGAAATTTCATTTGAAAGCGAAATTGGGACAAAACTCTATTTGAAAGTGGTACATTAGGGGCCGATACTTTTGCTCTCGATTAACGAATTTGATACGTTGTCAAAGTTTTGCATGGGCCAAGGTCTATAGGTATGATGTGGTTAGAGCACATTCTAAGCCCTGATTATTTTTAACGGCTGTTAAATGAGAGCAAAAGTACCGGCCCTAGGACGTAAAACGATCTGTAGAATCCGAAAAACAAAAAATATACAGGGTGTGCCATTTAAAAATCAAAAGTTGCGGTCATTTCCGGTGAAACCGGAAGTCAGGAAAACTTGTCATAAATGCATAAAAATGGCTTTTGGTTAGAATATCAAATGAAAATACAAAAGTTGTACAATTTTGGCTAAATTTTTAGAATCCATGTTAAGAAACAAAAATTGAATGTCAGAAATCTGAAAAAGTGTATGCTTCTCAGCTTTTTTTAAATCGGATGCCCTACATTTGGTTCTATATTCTTGAAGAGCACAATACCCCGATTACAAAAATATATAGTTTGTCTATATTTGGTTGAGCCGTCTCCAACATATTTGGTTCTAAGAATTTTAAAAATACTATCAGAGAAACCAAGTACAGTTGACTCGCGCTAGTGTGAACACACGGTTCTGTCAACCTCCTAGTAGTATGAACAGCCAGAATGAATACATTATATATTCTGTAGTGTGAACTTTTGAGAATCTCGGTAGTATGAACAATGTTTTTGACCACAAATTCAATCATTTTCTGCTTACTTTTTGTTTTCATCGGCTATTTCCGTCCAATTCTGGGGTTCCCCGAATGTTTCGAGACAAGGAATTCACACATTAAGTCACCGTATTCACTCTAATGTGGAATACACATGTAATAAACAAGTGGCAACGCGTCAAGAGCACATTTAAAAGTCTATAGTTTTTAGTTGGTTGTTTGTTGTGGTTAATAAGTTTTGTGAAAATGGCATAACACAATTTTTTGAACTCTCCATGGGTCTGTTTTTACAACAGTCTCTGACAGTTTGCAGTCGTTCCAAGATCCTTCGGTAACTTAGTTGAGAATAAACTGGACTTTTGTGAGAACGGACCTTATGAGAAATCAAAAATCATAGAAGATTGCCAGCAAAGCAAGAGCATATATTGGCGTTGATAACACAGAAAGCCTAAGAAACTTTCAAGACAAAGTAGGTAGCCATCTAGTGGTCAGCTAGAACCATTCATACATCTCCTTTAATCAATAAACTGGGAAAATTTACTCAATGGATATGTTTGGGAGTACCTATTGTATTAATTTCTCTTGAATTTCAAGTTTAGAGACCATTGCTGACTGAATTTTGCATTTTTAGGTAGAGCTTCGATGGTGTGAACATCTCGATAATATGAACACGTCCGGTTTTTTTGTGTTCACACTAGCGCGAGTCTACTGTACCTCAAGTTTTACCTGCAGCTTTCGCCTGTACAGGTTGAATAGTTCACAAAATCAGAGTAGGATAGTATTTTAAAAATTTTTGGAACCGAATAAATAAGAGACTGCTCTGCTCAACCAGATATAGACAAACTATTTATATTTTTGGAATCGGGGCATTATGCTCTTCAAGAATATAGAACCAAATATAGGGCATCCTATTTTCAAAAAGCTGAAAGCATGCAAAATTTCACATTTCTGACATTCAATTTTTGTTTCTGACCATGGATTCTAAAAATTTAGCCAAAACTGTACAACTTTTGTATTTACACCTTTTTTCTACCTGTAAAGGTAAAGGCTGTAGGTGGGGTGTCAATATATAAAAAAACACCCTGTACAAGGTGTTTGTTCACAACTGGAACACTCTAACACTAACTTTTTTATTATTGAAAATGAAGGGCAAGTTCATATTGGATTTCTTGATAAATAGGGAACTTGCACATTAAATTAAAAATGGAATAAATAATAAAACACAATAACAAACATCCTAATAATTGATGCAGTTAGCAAAAAAAAAGTAATATCTTATCTCTAGGGCCTTAAATCTTCAATACCAAATAATTCGAAATTCATGACGCGATCGAAAACGTGTTTTTATGGGTCGTGACGTCACAAGGCAGTAATAATCGGGTCGCGCCGCCGCCACGCCATGTGCTGCTGGTATCACCATTGTCAAATCTATCGTAAACAATGAACTATAACCAAAAACTGGAATGCGAACACATATTGACGAACGTGAAGCCCAGTGCCGCTGCTGCGGAGGGGATAACTGTTTTTGTCGCATGGCAGAATTTGCTTCCAATACGTATTCCAATTGATGAAACCTGTGAAGGTAAATATGACAAAACTTTCCAAAACGTCATATTATTATGTCAGCGAGCAACAGAAAAAAACAACATTCGCCTTTGTGGCATCTATCTTTCATGGCTACATTTTTTTGGCAGATATGGCAATGTGTGCGCATTCCAGTTTTTGACTATAGTTCATTGATCGTAAATGGCATACATAACAACATAACAATAATCTAAATCTGCCAGGCTCGAAATTCGAAGTGCTCGTCACTGTCAACGGAATTTTGTTGCGGAGTGACGTCACACTAATTGGTTGTTTTAAATGGTGATGTTCAGAGCGTAACTTTAAATATTTATAAAAAACTAGCGGACCCGGCGAACTTCGTAACGCCTCAGAATCAATAAATGTTAAGTTAACGCATTAGCTTAATTAAATACAGTTTTTTGATAAGATAAAATGATTACTAACAATAAATTATGTGGTTCAATAAATGTTCAAAAATCAAAATGGAACAAACCGCGCAATCTGACGCGGCAAACTTGGTATCGGTTACAAGACATGGCGCCGTATGCATATTTAGTGACTTTTCTTCATAAATATGTTTTTCTTTTTCTTGTGTTTTTTTTATATGTTCCAATGTTCCAATGGTTGTTATGTAATTCGGGCCAGACAACTCCAATATAACAAAAATCATAAAAATCGGCCTAGCAGTTCTCGAGTTATATGTTCTGCAACCAACCCGACAGATAGATATATAATAGAGTTACGTCAGTTGAATGCGAAAATTTGAATTTTTAAATTTTTTATTAAAAAAATAATACAGTTACGTCGGTTGAATGCGCAAACTTAAATAAATGTGGCAACGTTGTTTCATATTGTCAAAAAAAGTTGGGTCATGTATGTGAATAAGTTTGTTTATAATTAATTAAAAATTAATTTTGTTTTCCGAGAAAAAATGTAGCCTATACTTACTCCCTTTATATAGTGACTAATGGCTATTTGCACCGCTATCACTTAAGGGATATTAAGGGATATTTAATTTAAGTGGAGCTTTTGAATGTGACTTTTGTTTCTACGAGAGTCACATTCAAAGCTCCACTTGGATTAAATATCCCTTAAGTTATAGCGGTGCAAATCGCCGTAAGTGGTATAAATTCCAAGGAGATTGATCCAGTCGTTCTTGTATTCTAAAAAATAATACAGTTACGTCGCGTCGGTTGAATGCACAAGCTCAAATAAATGTGGCAACGTTGTTTCATGTTCTCAACAAAAAAAGTTGGGTCATGTATGTGAATGAGTTTGTTTATAATTATTAATTAATTAAAAATATTTTTTTCCGGGATAAAAAGTAGCCTATGTCACTTTCCTTTAGATAGAGACTACGTGGTTTAAATTTCAAGGAGATCGGTCCAGCCGTTCTCGAGTTAAAAGTGCTTCTACAAAACACAACTGTGTTGGCTCCGGTACACTTTACGGACACCTGAATTTTGCAAAATTTTAAATTTCGTGAGAAAGAGGCTCTTCTATAGAGTATTAAAAAAAAAAAAAAAAAATCGGATTATCCAGTAGTTTTTGAGAAATCAATTATTTCCACTCTGTGTTGAGTTGATGCTTGTTCACGTTAAACTACCTATATTCTTTGTACATTTTTCTCGTGAAACAAGGAGCAATCTAAGAAAAAAAATAATTTAAACTTCAAAGTGTTTATTTAAAAAAGGGGTTTTCACTTTTTTGTGGATTTACGTTTCCGAGGATCTTTTTTTGGAGATTTGGCGAGAGGAGCGAACAATCCAAGAAAAAATAAATAAATAAATTAAATTTCAAGGTGTTATATTTAAAGGTTCTGGTGCACTATAATTACCTCAAAACTAGACATTTTTTCTTTATAGACAGTAAGACAGTTAAGTTTTATCTCAAAATAGTTAACGGGGACTAGCACGCAGTACAAAGATGGGTTAGCTTGGGTTAGTTTGCATGTTTTTGATCAGTTTCAATACGGCACAGTAGTTACTGTTGGTTAGAGTGTACAAATTTCAATAGTTAAATAGGTAGGTATTAAGTATACGCTTTATCATTACTCAATAATGTTTTTTTCGAAAAATGGTTTGAACAGTTAGCTCTTCTTTCAGTTCGAATATCTACCACATGATGCTTTTCATTTTTATCTGCTAACCAGAGCGATTGTGATATTAGGCTGATAAGAATAGATATTATATATTGATCTGTGTCAAAGGTTGAGAAAAGGATTCACTCAATATTTATAAAATCCAATTTATACCTAGTTATTTGCGCCAACGTTACCTTTTTCTCAAGTTTTTCTTTTTTTTTAGGGTTTTTTTTTCTTCTTAATGATTATTAAGATGACAGGTTAGTTTCAGTTAGTTTGGATTTACTCTGTTTCGTTTAAAATGCCAACATACTAACACTTATCACGAGCACGTGCCCAGCTGTTTGGTTTGGTTTGGATCACTGCCTCCTATAGTTAACAAGCCATGAAGTTGGAAATGACGGCAACGTCGCGTATGGTGCTATTTTGTTATTGGGTTATGTGTTTCTGTGTATTGCTTTCATTGTGTATTGTTGCAATTTAGTATTTTTATGGGCATTATTGACGAAAAAGTGGATAGAAACACACCAATATATTGCCCATATTTAGTTGATACCTGTTCCTTTGTGCTTTGATTGCTAATTTTTAGCAAATGAGTACAGGAGCAAAAATGAAGGTAAGGTAAGGTAAAACAATAAAAACAATATTAATATTTGTCTGCAAGAGCATAGGTCTCGATATATTACCTAAGATATTTAAACTTGTTCCAGAGGCCATGAAACCACTGTGTTCCTGGGTGCAAATCGAACAGAGGAGTTCCTTAAAAACTGAAGAAATGCAAACATTTTTATTTCCAAAAAAATTCTGAAGTGCAAAAAATGTGGATGAAAGGAATACACCAAGATAATTATACCCGAGATTATACAATAACGAAAAATTCTGTGGTGTGTTGTAAGCATTTTGAAGAAACCGAAATAATTAGATTTGAAACAAACAAGGATAAAGGCGTAGTTCGAGAGTTCAAACTAAAACGTCCAACTCTTAAAAGTAGGTACCTCTTATTTTCGAAAATCAGCTCAAGTATTTGAATGGACTTGCCTTCCGAAAAAATCCCGAAGAAAGAAAAAGTTAGATTTTCAAAAGACATACTGAAACATAACCCTTTAGACTCTAGAAATATATTCATTTAAATCAATTATTTACTGTTCTTATTTACACAAATAGTTAAATTATTCATTGAATTACTGTTTTTGGCCCTTTAGTACAATTTATTATTATTTAATTATGCATGCATGCATTTTTTGTGATTCATATTAATAAAATAAATAGTATATTATATACCTAGGTAGAGAAGTTGGTCCTTATATACCGAGCGCTTTTATAAATGAGTGAGGTATATAATGACTTTCTCTACCGAGGAATATATAGAATTTTTTTTACTACTGCTAGTAGAAAATGAAAAATTTGTTTAAAATCTGTGCTCCAATTATTTTTTTTTGAACGCCCTCTTGAAAGTGCTGCCCTCTATCAACAGCTTATGATAACTTCCTATGTACCTACAGAAACCTGTATTTTTTTTCAAATTGACGTATGGAAATGAAATTGAACCAATAGAAACATGACAATATCCTTGCGTCATGACGTCATTTTCATTATTAACCTAGGTATTTTTTCATTATTTTCATTATTCACCTAGGGAGAGAAATTCAATTTTTTCCTAGAAAAATAGATTGAATAATGACAATTTCTCAGGTTAGTAGTAAAAAAATATATATATTTATACAAACAAACACCACCAGCACCACTTGGCGGTAAGATTGCGGTGTTGCCTTTTTAACTTCATGGCTTGTTAAATGTAGGAGGCTGTGTTTGGATTAATTAGTTTTCAACAAAAAAAAAAGTACATGATCCTCAGATTTTTTTTTTTTTTTTTTTTTTTACGGATATGTGCACTCGCAAGGAAATGTCCTATCACGCTCGAGAAGCGGCAAGTGCGCGGAAATGTCGGTGTATGTTGGTCTTGAAGCGGTTCAGGTTGTAACCTGCAGGGAAAACCGTCGCAGGGAGTTTACACACAGCGATGCTATTCTCCAGAGATATGAATTCTGATATAATGAGGTTCTTGGTGCCTCTAGTTTGACAGTAAATTCATGGTTACCGTCTGTTTGACGGGTTCGCCTGGTAGGCGCTACTCTCGGTGGAATCATACGGGCTAACTCTTCAGAGCATTTTCCGTGATAGTACCTGTAGAAGAGAGATAAATCGCCCACAGATCTGCGATGTTCGAGACCATCCAAGTTACGAGTAAGTGCGGGGTCATTGATCAGCTTGATAGCTCGTTTTTGCACGGTGTTCAAAAGCATTAAGGTATGTTTGGGTGCTGCACTCCATATATGTGAGCAGTACTCCATAGTTGGTCGAATCTGGGATTTGTAGAGTGTCAGCAATTGGCTTGGTGTGTACAGATGTCTTGTACGAAATAGCACCCCCAGCTTTTGGGACGCCCTTTTAGCAATATCTGCCACGTGACTGTGCCAAGACATGTTGGTCTCTGCAGTAACCCCCAAGATGTTCAACTGACTCTGTAATGTGACAGCACTTCCAGATAGCATGATGTTTGGCTCACCGGTGCTGGTCTTTTTTGAAAACAGAGCTGCTTGGGTTTTCTGCGCGTTGAACTGTACAAGGTTTTTGTTACCCCAGTCCTCTATTATCTCCAGGTCGTTATTTATCTGCGATATTTGAGTTAGTCTAAGATGATGGAATTCACGTGCGGAAAGACCTGTGGGTGGTATGAGTGAGGAGACTACATTGCCATCGTCTGCAAAGCAATAAAGTGGATTTACTGTTTTATCTATGAGGTCATTTATGTAAATCAGAAAAAGAGTTGGCGAAAGGATTGCTCCCTGTGGCACACCAGCATTTATTTGGTAAGAGTTGGAGTTCTGGCCATCCAGTGCAACATAAATGGATCTGTCCTTTAGGTAACTTTCAAACCAAGTGCAAAGTTTCGGCGATAATCCCATTGCTTTGAGCTTTTTGAGCAGATTTTCATGCCAAACTTTGTCGAATGCTTTAGATATATCTAAGGCAATTGTTCTTGTTTCACCCCGCAACTCAATCGCTTTTTGCCATAAGTGAGTGACGTATGTAAGTAAATCGCCAGTTGACCTATATTTTCGAAATCCGTATTGCTTATCGTTGATAATTTTGTACTTTTCCAAGTACTTGGTTAGGTGATTGTTCACAACTCTTTCCATTACTTTTGATATCACTGGAAGTAGAGCAATTGGTCTATAGTTTAACGGATCTGTCTTTTTTCCTTTCTTTGGAATGGGTTGTACTGCGGCAGACTTCCATGATGATGGATATACTCCTTGCCTGTAAGACAAATTGAATAATTTTGCGAAAGTTGGGGTGAGTTCGTTGGCGCAATTTTTGAGTACTATTGCGGGAATGCCATCCGGACCCATTGCTTTGTTTGTATCTAGCTTTTTAAGGGAGATACGAAAATTCGTATTTCTCTGTGACAAAAGGGTACCTCTGGCATACTATGGGAAACCCTTTCAATGAACAGTGGAGTTTTTCCGTTTGGCACTGTTAGGTTGGAGTTGGAGGAAAACATTTGGGCCAGCATATTGGCTTTTTCCTCTGATGTTGTGGCTAAGTGATTATTTTTATCTGTAAGTGGTGGTATGGATGACTTGGTGAAGTTAGATCCAACAGCTTTTGCAAGAGACCAAAAGGACCTAGAACTACTTGGACAATTCAGCAACCTGTTTTTTATTCTTTGATTGTATGTTTCTTTAGTGGAGTCAATAGTAATTTTGCAACTATTTCTGGCTTCTATAAATTCTGTGTGGTTTTGAGCGGTTTGTTGTCGTTTCCAAAGGTTATATGCTCTGTGTTTTTTCTGTACAGCCGTTTGACACTGGCTGTTGAACCAAGGTTTTGCATTAGCTCTACGTTTAGTTGTATGTGGGATATATGCATCCATTCCAGATAAAATTACTTGTGTTATTTCATTACAGCAAATAGTGGGATCAGCTGTTTTAAAGCAAACCTCTTGCCATGGAAAATCCAGGTAAAACTGTTTTAGGTCATTCCATTTTGCCGATTTATAGTGCCACATTTTACGAGGAAGTGGTTGTTGGCTTGGTGGGATGAGCATTTCGCACTTTGTTATTATAAGTTTATGATCGGACGAACCAAGTGGAGCATCTACTTGAATTGTGTACGAGTCAGGATTTGTGGTTAGGAACAAGTCTAAAAGCGCTGCAAATTCGCCCCTTTCTGAGATACGGGTAGGTTCATCGACAAGCTGCGTTAGACCACAACTTATGGCAAAAGCTTCTGCTTCTCTGCCTTCGTTATCTGTTTTGTTGTGGTGTTTCAGCCAGGGTATATTGTGGACGTTGAAATCGCCTAAAAAGACAATTTCCGCCTATGGATAGTTTGACTGTATACTATCACAGCTTTCGGATAATGTCGCGAAAAAGTTTTGGTACTCGGTGTTAGATGGCGGTCGGTAGAGGCAGCAGATAAACTTGGTCGATGACTTTGAGGTGAATTTTAGCCATATGATATCAAGGTTCGCTATTAAACTATACTATACACCACTCCTCACTTTTTGAATTTTGAAATTTTTGCAAATATCGAGGTACTTATAGTGCACCAGCCCCTATTTAAAAAAAGGGTTTTTCTGGTTTTTGGTGGATTTACGTTTTCGAGGATATTCTCTTTGAGATCCGGCGAACGAAGCGACAGCATCGCGAATATCACATTTTCAACAATTTAAGTTGTTTTTTTTTAAAAAAAAATACTAGATAATCCGCATTTTTTATTTTTTGAATAAACTACTTGAAGTACCCTCTTTCTGATAAAATTTAGAAAAACGACAATTTTGTGTGTCCGTGAAGTGTACCGGCACCACTGTGTTTTATACAGTGACCG